CATTTTGTTGAGAGTCCCCTCATCCTCACATTATCATTAACAAGCGTTAACAGAAGCTGTTAGTCTCTACAATTTAGCAGCTGGCAGGGCTGATGTGAGAACTCCAAAGCCATCACACTGTCTCTAGTCATTTCCTTCGAGTGACGTATCTGGGTCTGTTTTATGGCCGAAGATGAAAGTTTGGGCAGCACCTTCCCCTCTTTGAACGTGTCTGTATGTGCGTGTGGACACACCCGTGCCCACAAAGAGGGGAAACACAGAGCCTACAACTCCTGTTCTGCTGCTTCAGTTTGGCTCCTGCAAGGAGTTAAGTCCCCTCAGAGACCGAGCCCACAACCCTTCCACACCTGCAGTACTCCTTCCACCGACGCACCTCCATGTTTTTGTTTGGGATTAGAACTCTGACAGCCCCAAGAACTAAGAACTAATTGTTTGTTCCTAATGAGTATCAGATTAATTGGGATATTTAGAGGAAACATGGGTCAGGCAAAACATAATATATTTTATGGAAATGCTTCAGTGTGGATTGAACTCCTGCTGGTGGTGTGTGTGCTGCAGACCATACACGTGGAATGGGAGCTATTTACCCTCACCTCCCACAGGTGAGTAAGAACAAGCAGGGGATGGCCATGTCCCAGTGCTAACAAGGACATGAGAAAGTGTCTCAGAGCAGCCCCAGCTGCCCATGGTAGAAAGCAGAAATATGGCTCTGGCAACTCCTGGGACCACTTATTTCCTGATCCGGGTGTTTGATGAGATGTAATTGCCATAGACTATTTGAATGTACCAATTTGCTTTAAATCCATTGCAAAAAGCCCTCTGAAACAACCTTGGAAGTTTGCAGACCAGAAAACTGTACAAACTAAATCCATCAGACATTAAAAGAAGTTACAATTCTGACTGCATATCCTGAACATTCCCATCTGAGCCCTACACAAAGTTACGCAAGCACTTGGGACCAAACAGTAGGATCCAGCAAAGATTTATGTCCACAGGGGAACATTATTTCTTGTCCTTGACAGTACTGAGCTTCATACAGTATCCTGCAAATAAATCATATCTGCTGCTTCTGGACCACAGTTGTCAAGCTTGGCTGTAGGAATAGGCAGGACACAAAAGCTGGAATTAAGCCCCCGGAAAAAGAAAGACCAGCGCAGCGAGGGGTGGTGGTGTTTGTTAACTGGTTTCTATTTGCTTCAGCATCAGTTGGGAGAGCAATATACTCACATTAAGATAAAAAAAAAAAAGATAATAAATGTCCCAGATTACACAGGGATCTTATATATTGCTTCCATATGATCAGTGGTTCTAATTAAGCTTCCAGTCTGGAAATCTGTTGTGACCACAGCTTTTGCAGCCTATTCCATACTATTTTGAAAAAAAAAAAAAAAGAAATGACAATGTTTTGTGGCACTGTTTTAAAATGTTTCTGTCTTTCCAAGTTTGTCCACACATAGTACACAAGAGATTTCTGTTAATTAGAATGAAGATAAGTGAAGTGAAAAAGGCTATGAAGGATATTATTCATGTTAAACACAATTAAAATCTGTTGTTCTGAGTTCATCTGTATTAACATTTCATGAGTTTGGGGGTTTGGTTTTGCTGGGTTTTTGGGTTAAAGAAAACCACACACACACACACACACACACACAAAACCCCCAAAAAACCCAAAAAACCTCCCCAGTTCACAACTCTGTCTTGTTTAAAATTGACTGTGCTTGGAGGAGCACTGGGTGAGCTCAGAACTTCTCAGTATGTGATCAAAGAGTTTAGCACAAGAATAATGCTTGAGAGACTCAGTACGACAGAGAGAGTACTGCTACAATATCTACTGCCCTTGGTACATGGCAGATGTGTTGTTTGTGTCACTTCCTGAACGTTTTTTCGGTAGGAATTGCTCTTTAAATCAGAAACGTGTATGTTGGAACCAATTAGCTTAATTCTGTCTTGTCAGCAAGCACTGGTGAGCACAAACATCTGTAGCACACTCCAGTATTGCCACTTTAAGCATGTCTTAGATAAAATCCTGGCCTGCTGAAGCCAACGGGTTGTGCATTTCTCAGGAATGGGACTTCACATACCAAATTCCAAACTTATCAGGCATAGAGCCATAAGAGATAAGGAAAAAATGGGGAGTCTTGCTGTAATTTTCCAAACCCTTGGTGCTTTGCTTTCACCAGATGGGATGGTGCTGTTCGTGGAGGGCTGCAAGGGGCTAAACTCTCCATGAGTTGAACTGCAGAGGCTTTTCTTCCAAAGCACGGAGCCAGTGGGGCCCTTTGCACAGCAGGACATCCCAAACCCTCGGTACATGTGTGACAATTCCAGGCAAACAGGCCTAAGCTTCCTCACCCAGGCCAATTACTTAATGAAAACTACACAGCTTATCATCACCACGGTCCCTCGAGAGCCAGGCAGGCTTTTTCATGTGCCTAATCCCTCATGTGCTCAACTTCAGAATATGTATAACACATTTAATGAAGCTTGAAGCTGTCTCTGTTCTGTATGTAACATTTATACAGCACTGGGAGGACAGAGTCACAATGTATTTGCAGTATAGATTCTCCTCTTGCTGCATTTGTACCTCATGCTACCTTGGAAGCAATAAAACATGAGGATAGGGTCTTTATCTGGACCAAACACAAAGTAAACTCCACTAAGGACAATCTAAACACAAAAATCTCTTTTCACAATCATCAAGAATGTGTTTGAAAGAATGTCAAACAGATGCCCCAAGAAAATTACTTCCCCTGCCTCTTTTCTCATCCCAAACCCTTATTATTACTTTTTGATTGATTTTTCTTGGCTCTTACACACTCTCATGCTGATCGTCTTAGGTGGGCTCTATACAACCTTCCCAGCTTTCTTTTATCCCTCTAGTCTTCCTGCCAATAAATTGCTTTTATGAAAGATTTCTTTTTTATTTCATAACCATTTTCTCTTGATCCAAAATGAACTATAACTCAGTGGTTGGGTGCTTTGTTTTTTAATACAACACTTGGTCTGCCAAATGCCTTAAAAATGTATTTCAGCTTCTCTGTTTGTTTGAAAGCTGTTTCTTCCAAGAAGGCTAAGAATAATGTGGTTACCATAGTTTCCTTATCCACCACCAATAAAAGGCAACTTGGAGTACAATAAAACAAAGACAAGACTACTCAAGATGTGAGTGAATGACTGAACACTGAAATCTTCACCCCACATTGTTCCCAGCACTACAGAAAATACTCAAGACTAATCAATACCCAACTTTTGGTCCAGCAGGGAAGATGAGGATAAGCCTGTCTGGCTACCAGCTATTTGAGATATTTCAATTCCAACACTTAAGATGCGTGTTCTTGTAAAATTCCTGCCTCACAGATTTAGTATTTTGCTGCAGAGTTTTTGTGTTTTAGTGTAATCTCTTGTTCTGGGAAGCAATTGTGTAGGCAGCACTTTGCTAAGGCTCACTGAAGTTAAGTGACGGATTAATTACCCGTAGGAACCAGTCAGCAAAGTAAATAATGTACTGTTTGTTCTTACAGTTTTGTTGGCTCCTGAACAGGCAAGATTCTAGGGAACAAGCCAAAAATAATCTTTTTTTCTTTCAGTCAACTGGCCAACAAAACCCCACATATGCTTCAAAGATTACACAAATTACACCTGCTTTGGACACATCCATTTGCCTTCCTGATTAAAAGTGATGGAATTTTACTCTAATAATATGAACTTTTAAGAAAAGAAAGAAAAACAGTTGTTCTCAATAATAAAGAATAATGAAAGAGAAAAGCATGCATGATGGATGCACAGACCCGCTGTCTGTGGGGATATATCTGTGATGTTATATCCCACATGCATGATGGATATACAGACCCACCGACAAGCTTATTTTTTTCCCTGATTTTAAAGAGTTGTGAAGATTTTCTTTGAAAAAAGGTTAAACCAAAAAGCTCTGCCACAGATATGAGCAACAGGGGAAAAAAAAATAAAGGAACTCCCTTCCTTACCCCAGGCACCCAGGGCTGTAGGCAGGGATTCTGAGCACCAGGAGCTGGAAAACTGCTGGAAGAGCATTTCCTTTTGCTGTTTTTGAAGAAAAGCTGTTATCCTCACTGTGCAGCTCTCTGGAACTTTTTCCAGACCCCAGAAGCTGCACCCAGAATCATCACTGGGTGCATCAAACATACACAGAGCCTCAGTCCACATAATTTCAGTTGTAGTTTAGCAACAAGACAATATAATTTATTTTTTATTCTTGCCTTCTTATACTGGGAAGCTCATGCAAAGGTAACAGAGAGAAAGAAGGTGTAGGAGTGCAAGAGATCACTCACATGGTGAACATGCTCCACTCTTTCAATGCAAATTCACCTCACTGAAAAAGCATTATGTGTATAAGGGGCTGCCAGTTCTAATGAAAAGGGAAAAAAAAATGCTATTTTTGCAGAAAAAAAATCTTAGATCCTGTTAGCATGTTGCTCATTGCATCAGGTAAACCAAGTAGCACATTTTTAAATTGCTGATGTCAAGTTAATCACTGTCAACACTATAAAAGAAAATAGCTAAAAGCAGCAACTAAAAAGGTAGGTTGTTCACATCCCTGGAGTGAATTTACTGGGGAACAGGAAAAAGCAGTGAAGACTAAGCCTATGTTAAACTTTGCACCCTTCTTACCAACCAATAAAGGAGAATATAGACCAGGGTTTTTTTCAACATTTCCCTTATGCCTCCAGTGCACCACACTGCAAGTGTCACACCAGCCCTGGCCAGGCTGCTCATCAGTGGTTTAAACCTTCTCATCCAGAAACACCCAAGAGCAGAGTCGCCTGCTCAGGACCTGTGGCTCTGCTTTCCCTCAGGGAGACCACCTCGATGGAAGGTTACCCAGAGTGGTTCCCACAGAAAATGGCACTGGAAGCCCCATCCACTTTGCCATTACCAGTTGGGCTGTTGACCTGTCGGGTGGTTAACAGCAAGAACCAACCTCCATCCTTCTCCTGCCCACGGGAACCCCAGCAGCACCGTACCTCGTTGATGGCCAGCTGCTCCCCGCCGCCCCCAGGGTGGCCGTAGCGGTGGTTGGAGCTCCGGAAATCCTCGTACAGGTCCTCCTCGCTCCCCACATCGTCCGTCAGAGCTGTCTTATCCAGGGCCCCGTCAGCGATCACTGCAACAGCAACAGGGACACATTGGTATGGGGCACGAGGTCCCCAGCAGCACTGCCCCACCATGTGAGCTTACTAGGGCACTGTAACACAGCACAGGGGGGAAAAGACAATGAAACTATACAGGAATTTCAGGGCACAATTCCAGCCCTGTGCATTCCCTGTTGTTCCTGAGCATTTTTCTCCATTCGTGTTTTGTTACCACAAATGATTGTGTCTTTTTGTAGAGCAGAGAGTATGATTTAAAATAATTCAACAACTGCTGGGTGTTGCAAAGAAAAGATCAAGTAAGAATAAGGAAGCAGGGTCTGAAAAAAGGCACAGGGCAATGATGGCACGAATATGATTTCATCAGGACACTGATGTGTTGTTGACAGGAAACTGGACTAGGCAACCAACTCATGTCTGCCACCTCATACCTTGATGATCACGATTTACCAAATCCCGTCAGGCCAAAGAAACTCTCACCCTTTGGGAAAAATATTCCCGCATTTCTGTTGCCTAAAGGGTATTTGCTCCAGAATTATCCATTATTACCACAGGAGGGCCATTCTGCTCAGCACAGCCCTGAACAAGCTACAGATAACGGAGGGTGTACAGTCTGTAGCTAGAACAAGCATTGAAGTCTCAAGATATAAGTGTAAACCTGAGAGAAATAAAATTATGGCATTTATACTCCTTGGCACTTCATCTGTTTTATTGCCAGGAACTTTTTCCTGAAATCTCCTCAAGGTATTAGCAAATACCCTTCAGTGTTATGTAGACCAATCATTCTTCCCATCCCTGGACAGGTAACTGAGCATAAACTTTCTGTTCTCAAAATCTGAAAAATGTCAGTGATTAAAGAAAACATTTGCTGACATTCATCTGGATTAGGAACCGTTGGGGCAACAGTTTCCATGACAAAGATTGAAGATGAAGTGAAAACAGACATTGTTATCAGCCCCTCTGGGGACAGTCTTTTCTGTCCAAGTTACACACCATGTCACACTCAAAATTTTCACCTGCAGAACGGGTGAAAAAACCACTTTGAGCTTGACCTTGTAGAGCTTGGATAGGAAAAGCACCAGTCTGAGTCTGGGGAGACACAAACCTGCTCTTGAGCCCTCATTTCATTCCACAGTGCAAGTGCATCTCATGAACCCAGTTGTGCCAGTGGGCCAAAAAAAAAGTGACTAATGATTCATTAGCTTATTATTACCTGAAAGCAAAGCTCCTCAGTAATACAGAATAAATTGCTGTCAGAGGTTACAGCCACACCTGCAGAGCTCATGCTCATCAAAGCTTTCAGTACATGGGTGGTTTGCTAAGGCTGTGCCACCTGGTTACTCCTAATAACAGTGAGGTGTAAATTCAGTGTAGCAGCTCTCAGTTCAGTGCAGTTACTTGACATCAAAATGATGAGTATGAGCTATTTTTAAACTAAATACTTGCCTATTTATGTTTTGAACTCAGTAAATACACACAACATAGCAAAGATGGATTAACTGCCTAAACCTGGAACTCCACTCACTATTGATGGCAATTCAGGACATGGAGGTGAATATGAGCTTATGATTAAAGCAGAATTTTCTGTGCAAGTGTGGAACTACCCAACCATTCAACTTAAAGTGACATTTCACCAAAAAATGAAGCATTCTCCTAGCTTTGCTCTGACACATCACATCATTTATTATACAGAAGTTCTGTACTGAATATGTACCAGTAGTATAGATTGCATATAAAGCAGTTCTGGGGCTAAGACCTAGTCCATTAATATAAAACTCAAAACCAGCTGGAATGTCACTGATATTATAATTTCATGCAGAGTTACCATGGTTTGCACTTAAATTTATGTTTTTAAAGACCATTAGAGTATCACTTTTTGCTCATACACTGTCTAAAAAACGTTTGTCTGATAGTAATGAACAACTTTGAGTGTGTTAGTGCAGCAAGAGAAACAAATTAGAAATGTTTTTCAAGAACAAATAAAAATAAATCATTTATAAGAAGGAAGTCAGCAGTCACTTAGTTCAAAACTTCCTTTGCAACCTTCTGATCTCATTCTTTTCCCTTATTTCACACATGGCTTCATTACTTTTGCCTTATGCATCTTTTGCTATTTTCACTGCTTACGGTAATTTTCAGCTTGAAAAATGTTCATTGACATCTTTAAAGCTTTTGGTTTTTTGCCCCCACATTTTCCTATTTGTTCTCGGGTCTGTGCTTAGATGAAAAAGCGAAAGCTCCAGGGAGATATTTATCTGTGTTACTTAAAATGCTCTATACCTCCACTAAGTGCCTTGAAAGCTGTGCCTGCTTTTACTAGAGATCTGTTTTTCTTCTCTGATCTTACCAAGCTCATCAATTCTCTGCTGTCTCAAAACCTGCTGCTGTGTTTAGGATTAGTTTTCCCCGACAGAAAAGTCCTGATGGACACACTGCCCCAAAAACACAGTTCACAGGCAAGAGGCAGCTCTCAAACCTTGAGGAAGAGTGGCCTGAGAAAGCCATTACACGTTTTCCCAAACTAACTAATGCTGCAGGGAAGAATTAAACTAGTGAAAAATAAGATTTTGTCCTGAAGCAGCTTACATGGAAGACATGACCACAGAGAAATAAATAAATAAAGCAGTAGTCTGGAATGGTGACCCAGTGCACTAGAAAACCATCAAGGAAGTAGGAGAATGAAGGCTTTTAACATAGGTACTGACTTAACATGCACAGCATAAACTAGGTCAAGTAGAAGAGAAGCAAGCACTATACAAAAATCTCAAAAGACAAGTTAGAAGAGATTTCTGAAATAGTCTATCAGCTTCCTCAAGAGCACAGCACTGGGTGGACAGGCTACTAATAAACTGCACAGCAGCTGATCCTGATGCCTCATTCCTGCCCATGCCAAATGTTCATCTGTTTAACACTGAAATCCACTGGTACAGTCAAGTCTGGCCTCTCCATGTCCCTCTGCAACTGGTCTGACCTGTCCCTGGCAATCAGGCAACACCAAGGAAAAATGTTCTGTCAAAAAGTAAAGCCATATATCAGTTAGCTCAGGCAGACTTCTTCATATTTTATACCTCTGTTCTGCCACAGGAACCCTCTTTTATGCATCCATACAGATAATAAGGTGTCAAGAACTAATTCCATCAGGAAATATCTTGAGGTATGAAGCAGCAAAACTCATACAAAACACAGCACTGAAACCAGTACCTGGCCCAGGTGGTCTGAGTCCACGTGCCTGAGCAGACAGCACTTAGGGTACATGCAAAGACAGTGACAAAAACAAAATTAAAGAGCTTGACACAAATTTAATGGAGTTTGATCAAGATGGTCCAGGAGAAGGAGGCATTTGGGTTCACCCTGACACCTTTGGGATGCAGGTATGAGCAGGCAGCAGTGGGAAGGGTCCTGGTGGGGCTCAGCTTGTAACCCCACCTTGCTGAAAGGTGGTGCCAAGCAACTCTAAAAGAACAGTTACAGAGCTCTCCATCCCATCAGGAGGCCACTGGAGCCTTTACCAGCTCTGTGGCTTCACACAGAACAGCACTCTGTGCCTGCAGCGAGGGACAAGCCACAGCTGTACAACCCATTGCCACCCCAGGCAGGGGCCTGAAGCTGCATCCTGCTTAGAGGTAAATTGGGATAATTCAAAGGCAGCTGCCTGCACGGTAGGATTTTTACTCTTGGGAGCCATAATAAAGCCTCTAAGACACTGGAGAGCAAAACATCTGAGCTATGCTGGGACAGCCTCGATCTTCATGACCAACAGAGATGGTAGGGAGGGGAAAGAAGAGAGAAGAGGTTTTGTGTTGTTCATCAAACTGGTGGGAAGCCAAACGAAGCTGGGATTAGATAATCTGCTAAAGGTCTCAGAAAACAAGTGTTAACCATAGTCCAGAGTTCAGTTAAGACCAGAGTCACCTTCTACAGGTGACACTGTTATGTTTGTGCTCCTTTCTGAAAGGATGGGCCTGCTTCATACATTCCAAGAGTCAGGAATTAGTGAACACAAGTTGCTTTTAAAAAAAAACCAACAAACCAAACCAAAATAACCCCCAAACCCCCCACATACCTACCTCCACAAAAAAAAATTATAATAACAAAAAAAAGTTAAAGAAAAGTAATCCCACCCTCTCTCTGGAGAAGCACAGAATAAATTTCTAGAACAGTTTCCTCTGAGGAGCTGGGCACTACAGTCCCAGATCTAGCAGAGACTTTGAACAGAGCTCTCTCAAAGTCACAGAGGTTTATGTCAAAGTTGGAATAAACCCCAGCAGCTCCCGATTGGCGAGGAGCTCCAGACATGTCTGGGTCAGAAGCCTGAACAATGACCCACCCAGGACTGAAGGAAAACGGGCTAGAGGCGTTTTCCCAAAATGCTGCTTATCTGTTTTCATTTGACTTACAGTTTACAGCTTTTAGGGTAAGGAATCCCTGATGATTAGGGACAGCTTGAAAAGCCAAGAGCATTCATAGTTTATTAAAAGCACATTATATTGACAAGAGGAACAACTTCTGTGTATTTGAATTATCTCTTTCAAGTGTGTTCTTTCAGTACCACATCCACCCCTTGCATTTGTCTCTGCAGCATTTACATTTAAAATAATTCAGCAAAATAATAGCGGGAGCCTGATTTACACTCACAGAGCAAATTAATTCAGAGCTAACAACATCATCCCCTCTGCCTCACTGAGCAGAGATTGCTGTGGTTGTGTGCAGCGCCCACAGGAAAGCGCAGTGCAGCTGCTGAAGGAAGTACTTCAGGAGACTGAAGATGATAAACAAGAAAGGGAGTGTGTGAGGTGAGGAGCCAAACCCAAACTACACTGCCATGTGAAAAGGGCCCCTCTACCCTCCTCTTCACCCATCCTGGACTGCTAAACCCTTGTCCCCCTCAGAAATAGCTGCCACAAGAGCGCTGCAGTCTCCATCAAGTCCTGTTCTCAATTATGCACTTCATTTATCAGATGCTTGATATACAGAGGTCCCCATGCAGCTGCCACAGTAAAATCCATCAGAGTGA